ATAGATTATTGATGCAATTCAAATATTAAATAGCAAATTTTATATTCAATGTATGTATATCTCTCCACGTATCTAAAAGGCCATTATAATAATTTTTTAACATACCGTCTCTCTCTCTCTCTCTCTCTATTTCATTTTTAAAAATATCATAGGTTAATATATTTACAATTATATTTTAAATTTCCGTGTTTAAAGCAGCATAGTAAATGCAAAATAAAATTCTATTTACTTATTAATGAAGATAATCTTTATGTGCAAAAGAAAAATAACATGCAATACGCGATATACTTTAAGAAAGATTTAAAAGACTCTACTATTTCTCATTTATATATCTAGTGTAAAAAAGGATGATTTCTAATTTCTAGCATCTCCTCTAGTTCACCCCTTTTAAACGCTCCTGCGCATGTTTTCTCATCTGCTTGAGCTTTCTTTTTCATTTCATCATTACATCTATGCGACTTGACTGTTGTTAAAGACGACTGCCTGTTCAGAATTTTATTCCATAGGAAGAATCGCTCGAAGTTCACGATCGACTTTCACCAGGCCGCGCTTCTGGTATGCGTAACGATTCGCATGACGGGTTGCCTACTTTTGATTCGTTTATTATAATTGTTAGACGTTGCATCAATTAACATATCTTTGATTATTCATGCTCAAGGATTAATAAAAAAAAAGTAACGATATCATTATTGATTTAAAATTAACTGAAAAACAAAATTTTAAGATTGATTATATTTCTAAAGTATTCTTTATATTTTCGACGGATTATAAAGACGAATATAGCATTATTCTTAATTCCACATTTAATATCTATAATTTTGAATAACGGCGACAGCACTGAAACATTATATCAAAAGATTTTATATACATTTTATATACATTTGCCGATATTATTCGACGTAAATATATATATACGTGAAAAAAGATTGAATTTTCTCTCATCCCGGATTCCCGGAGTCCGATAGCTGTAACCGTTCGGAGAAAGTAAAGAGCCGCGTATCCGGCGAAATTATCCGCGCCCGAGCTCTTTCAATTCCAGATGTGATGTAATCAGTTGTGCGTTTAGATCTGTCAAGGCATATGAATGCTACATCAGAATTCTGATACCTCTCGTAGAAAATTCTGCGTATATTATAAAAACTTGAAGACGAATAAAAATGTATAAGATATTATTTATAACATGTGTAAAAATAATTAAAAAGGAGTATAATTTATCTATCAGGATACAAATAAACTTTTAAGATTTAGTCTGACATATATCTTTTTTGCTATTCTGACGCGCATTTTTTTTGCGGAAAACCAGTCGTTAATTAAACACACCGTGTTTTTTCACTTGACTAAATAGTGCGATAGTGACCATGACGTATAGATTATTGATGCAATTCAAATATTAAATAGCAAATTTTATATTCAATGTATGTATATCTTTCCACGTATCTAAAAGGCCATTATAATAATTTTTTAACATACCGTCTCTCTCTCTCTCTCTCTCTCTCTCTCTCTCTCTCTCTCTCTATTTCATTTTTAAAAATATCATAGGTTAATATATTTACAATTATATTTTAAATTTCCGTGTTTAAAGCAGCATAGTAAATGCAAAATAAAATTCTATTTACTTATTAATGAAGATAATCTTTATGTGCAAAAGAAAAATAACATGCAATACGCGATATACTTTAAGAAAGATTTAAAAGACTCTACTATTTCTCATTTATATATCTAGTGTAAAAAAGGATGATTTCTAATTTCTAGCATCTCCTCTAGTTCACCCCTTTTAAACGCTCCTGCGCATGTTTTCTCATCTGCTTGAGCTTTCTTTTTCATTTCATCATTACATCTATGCGACTTGACTGTTGTTAAAGACGACTGCCTGTTCAGAATTTTATTCCATAGGAAGAATCGCTCGAAGTTCACGATCGACTTTCACCAGGCCGCGCTTCTGGTATGCGTAACGATTCGCATGACGGGTTGCCTACTTTTGATTCGTTTATTATAATTGTTAGACGTTGCATCAATTAACATATCTTTGATTATTCATGCTCAAGGATTAATAAAAAAAAAGTAACGATATCATTATGTAACAGTATAGCAGTATTATAATTTATATAATCCAGATTTTGATATATTGTCGAGATAGTAGAATATATTTTTTATGTTAATTGCCTTGAAACGAAAGTGAAACGTGATTAAGTAAAAGCAGAAAGTAAAAGCAGAAATAATCGTTTTGAAACACATGCATGAAGCGACGACATTTGAATAATTTTCTACTTTTACTATAAAGTATTTGTTTGCCAACATATTTCGAGTTATAAGTAAAAGCAGAAAGTAAAATCAAAAATAATCGTTTTGAAACACATGAAGTGAAACGTGATTAAGTAAAAGCAGAAAGTAAAAGCAGAAATAATCGTTTTGAAACACATGCATGAAGCGACGACATTTGAATAATTTTCTACTTTTACTATAAAGTATTTGTTTGCCAACATATTTCGAGTTATAAGTAAAAGCAGAAAGTAAAATCAAAAATAATCGTTTTGAAACACATGAAGTGAAACGTGATTAAGTAAAAGCAGAAAGTAAAAGCAGAAATAATCGTTTTGAAACACATGCATGAAGCAATGACATTTGAATAATTTTCTATTTTTACTATAAAGTATTTATTTGCCAACGTATTTCGAGTTAATTATTGTTAATTAATTACACATTTAGCGTATTAAATATACTCATAATTCGTGTAATTTTTTTATGTTTTTTTCGTGGTACTTCCTCTAATTTCTCATACTTGTATATAATCACAAATTATTAAAAATTAAAATCTTTTGACAATTTCTATGATACATTGAATGTGCAGCGAGTAAATGACAAACATCGTATAAAAAGTTTAATATGCTGATATGAAATATTCAGTCACTGCAAACATTGCACAATCCGTAACTGCTATGTCACGATTATGGTTCTCTTACAAAATGAAATGGTTTGTGACGTAGAACGAGCATAAAAGGTTTTGCAAATTATCTTTCTCTTCTCGACGCAAATTTGCATTATTATTCTGAAGCTGAGCATGATCATGGTGTAATTTTTCTCGTTTTTAAGCAATGATATATGATAATAAATGAAGCAATGATATATGAATTTCTCTCACACATGCATATTTGACTCATTATCTATCATTAAATCATTATACTGTGTGTGACAACGTACATGTTTTCTATGTTTGTATATAATATCAAAAATAAGTCCAAGAAAAAATCCAGTTGCTTTCCTGTAAAAAAAAAAATCTAAAAAATCTAAAAAATTCAGAAAAAATACTTAATGACATTTCAAATAATAACTCGTAGAAAAATTTGTATCCTCTTTTAACAAAGATACAAAATATTAATCTAAAAGACAAAATAATTTTGTTTTCCTTTTTATCTTTCGTGAATTAAATTTTTTTATTCTAATGAAATTTTTTTAAGGCGAAAGATATTCTAGTGATCGCCGCAGAGAGAACTCTCGCTTCGGTTATGCATTATTCACGCGAGGAATGAATGTGGATGGTATCACGAAAATAAGAAACTGAAAGCTATTGAAGAGAGAAAGAAAGAAAGAGAATTTACTTGACGAGAGATTAATGGTACAAGCATAGTAATTTTTCTGTCCCGCTCTAAAAGTAAAAACCTATCTTCGTGCGCGAAACGTCTTGTTTAAAACGCAACAAAGAACGACGCCCTTTTGCGTTTCACGCACATATCGCGCGTTAATTTTTTGTGTAATAAGCATCCACGCTCGTTTATCGGACACTAATTACAGATAACATAATAGTTGCATTATTGTTGTAATGACTTAACAACTTAACCGACTTTATGCGCGCTTGCGTAGGTAGTGGAAAGAGCTCTTAAAAAGGCAACTCAGCAAATATCGCTCCGACGAGGAGACAGAATGTACATATGGCGTAAATGTATTGTCGTTTGACGAGAGTATGAGGTATGAATCTTGTTCAAATGTTACGTCCTTGGTAAGATTCGCTTTGAAGAACGATGTCCTTCATGGAGAGGACATATTTGCTTTTTTTTTTATTCGGCGTAATATTTAAAAAACGGCGTATTCTCCTAACGGAATGTTCTCCGCACAAAGGTACGTTAGTATTTTTATTTCTCTGTGGTATTGACACCTATGCAATATTTGTTTTTCTTCAACCAACGAAGTATGCATTCGGAGAATGGACATATCGATGGCTTGCATAAGAGTTAGACAGTGAAACAATAAGATTTCCATTCATTAACGCCTTTCAAGAAATTCAATTCATATTTTGAAGCACGTTAATCAAAAACTTTGAAAGCACGGAAAGATTGTCTTTGTAATAAATGAATATTTCTGTACGCCAATAGAAGATTTTCAAAGATGTCGTATTAGTTTCGAAATGAATAATTTGCCAAATTAAAAAAAAAATTGAGCGTATTCTAAAATATATATATATTTTTACTCAAATAAAAAATTCTCTTCAAAATATTCATTTTTCGCGAACAATAGAACATAAGGTATCTGAACATTGCTATAAATTCTTTAATAAATAAAAAAAGAAAATATTTTTTGCGTATATGTGTAAGGATATTCCATAGGGATGACACTAATTTTTTTAAATGATTTTTTTGGAAAGACATCGTGTATATATATAAATACGGCAAAATAAAATGAATAAACCATTTGTTTTAAAAATAGGATGTGGATATAACATAATAAATTACGATAATTGGCAAAAAATATGTACCGCAAACTTTTTGTGATGTTAGGCCGAATATCCGCGATGTCGAAATAACTGTGTGGGTGTCATTAATGAAAACAATATGCAAAACAGGCCACATATATATCTGTGAGTAATTCTCAAAGGATATTTCTATCTCTTCTTTAATTTTTCATTTTATTTATTAAAAAATTTGTCTCAGAAATAAAAAAAAGAACAATGAAAATATATAAAGAATGAATATATATATATATAAGTATGTGGACTCTTTTCTATTTGAATTTTTAGCACTCATAAAGAGAGAACGTGCGAAAAGAAGAACTTATTTTTCACTATTTACAGATTATTAGGAAAATGGCCAAACACCTATACCTATACGAAGGCAGTTGCTGAGAATGTGATTAAGAAACAGGCTGGTGACTTGCCAATCGGCATCTTTCGTCCTGCCATTGGTTAGCATAAATCACCATTTATTTATAATAACATATTTAAAACTGTCAGAATATTTTAGTAAACAGTACATAAATCAAAATTCATTAAAAATTTTTAAGAAGATCTCAAAATCTTTCTATATAAAAAACATGAATTTAATTATTAAATTATTTAAATAATAAATATAATTAATTAGAAGATATATTATTAATTATAATTAATTTTATAAATAATATTTGAGATCTTTTTCCTTCTAGTAATATCAACGTATAAAGAACCGTTGCGGGGTTGGATCGACAATTTATATGGACCGACGGGAGTTGCTGCTGGAGCTGGAACTGGATTGTTGCGATCAATCCATTGCAATGGTTCGGTTCACGCAAATGTGGTACCTGCCGATTTATCTGTTAACGCTCTAATCGCGTGCGCGTGGGATATAGCGAACATACAAAGGTACTATCATTCGTTTTCTTTCTCCCTTCTTTTCTTCTGCTTTTTGTTTCTTTTTCCTTTCTTATCTCAATTTTTTTATCGATAAACGTCACGTGTCACATATATCAAATATTAATTACGAATTAATCGCTTAAAATTAATATTTAAAAACACAATGCAAAATTTTTTGATATTATTGGCACGTGAAAAATTAAAGTTTGAGACGTATGATTTAATGAAGAAACTAACTGACTTCTCATTAATTGATTTATTGCTGTTGACACTTTAGATTTTTTTCGTGTAAATAATTGTTTAATGTAATGTAAATTCCAGTATATATGCAAAGTCAGGTTCACAAAAATTTTAAAAATTTCATAAGGTATTTCTAAACATGAAGATGTCATCATATAACGTTGCATCATCGTTTCAGATCGAATAACAAATCGCATTCTGACATTCCGATTTATAATTATGTGTCTAAGGATAATCCGATAACTTATGATGAACTGAAAGAAATGTCATCGAAATATGGTCTCGAAACTCCCTCGACTAGAGCAATCTGGTATTACAGCTTCAGAAACAATAAACACAGGATAGTTCATCTATTCTTTGTGTACTTTTGCCATTTACTCCCGGCTTTGTTGGTCGACACTGCGACTGTCTGTATGGGAAGACAACCGAGGTAATATAAGCGGAGATTTTACATATAAAGAATAAATGAACGCGAATTTTATTTATATTAATATTTATAAAAGTGTTAATATTTTTAAAAATGCATTAAAATATTTACATATGATTTTTTAAAAACTATATAATATTTTTTAAAAATGTGTATATATATATATACACATTTAAACTATATATACACATTTTAATCATTTAAAATAATTTAGAGTAACTTAAAGTGATTATATAGAAAAATAAATTGTTTTTTACCTTGTTACACTTTTATATTAATAATTTTATATTTATGCAATCACTGCTTAATACACATTGTATATATATGTTGCAGGTTACTTAAAGTTTATAAAAAGATACATAAATTTATGGATGTGTTAAACTATTTTTCCACGCAAGAGTGGACGTTTACCAATGATCGATTGCACGCGCTGATGATGAAACTCACATCCAAAGATAGCAAAAATTTCTTCTGCGATGTACGTGATCTCGATTGGAACGTTTACTTCGAAACGTATATTAGTGGGATAAGGGTATATCTCATTAAAGATCCCTTGGACACTTTACCGCAAGCACGCGTTAAATGGCAAAGGTACAAAATTTATGTATCTTTAACGTTGCATTCTGATATTTCAAAAACAATAAAAAAAATTTAATTAGTTTTTATCTGCTTTTAATTGTTTGGACGCTAAATTATATATACGTATGTTTAATTCTGTATATATACCTGATTAAATTTTTTTTCTTTATTATTTCATTATATCTTAAGAGTTTAAATATTTCAACGCTTCGAATTTATAAAAATCTAATCACGGACTATATTTTAAATAGAAAATATTATTATATATAAAAGATATCTTATATTTAACTTTATCATTTAATTATAAAAACACCAAATTAATCAAATAATTCATATTACAGATTATATTGGAGCCATCAAGTGCTAAAACTCATACTGGCCTATGCTGCTCTGAGGTTCTCCTGGATGGTCATATCTACTCTTTTCAATTTTTTCAAAGTGTGACAAATAAAAGTAAATAAGGAAAATCCTGAAATTTAGGATATACGTTCTAAAAACGCAAAAATGAAAAGTGGCATCTTGTGTTTAATTAAAAAAAGAAGCGTCACAAATAAGCGTGCAATTTCAGAAAATCTCGAGAAAAAAAAATTGAAAGATTAACGGGGAATTGTCGCATCGTAATTCTCTGTGTTAAAATGTGACAGAATATTTACGTAATACGAATATAATGTACCAGATGTGATAGAAACAGAAAAGAATTTGAATGACAACAATTTGATCGTATTATTCTAGCTTCGGAGATCTCCGCAAATAAACTGTAAGTATAGAATTATATGTTATTCTATTTTTCCAAAATAGATTTGTAGATGTTATATCAAAAAGAAGAGTTTAACAGCTGTGCCTTAGAGCGCTTTATTGTACTATATTATAAATAAATTTATTGTGGGGTTGATAGAGTTTCGTTATATATCGTAGTGGCGATTGATTATGGTTTGAAAATGACTCTGATTGAAAAAAACATTTTTTTAAATATATATATATATTTTTTTTTTTAATAAGAATATTTTAATGAAAGCATCTAAAAAAATCAAGAGCGTAAATAGATAATATAAATTGTTGTTCTGTCTCTTTAATCTGAATTTTATTTTAACGTTTTAAAATTAGTTTAAGATTATCACAAAATGTTTTGCATTTCTATTAAAATTGAATTTATTAGTAATTTTAATATTGATCACATAATAATTAGAAATAAAAAATAATTTTTTACTTTTGATAAAAGAAAATTATTAGAATAATTTAAATCAAAGGCAAAACTGATTCACAAAATGAGCAAGTTCTTAATTTGCGCAATTTAATTAAGTCCACCATCACGCTCACCTGTCATTTTTTATACTTATTTCATGAATCAGCATTTAACGCGTGACCGACTTCGATAAAGAAAAAATATTTAACGAATACAAGAAGTTTTTGTCCCGTGAAAAAATGTACTTATAATTTATATTTAATATAATCGTTTGTTTTTATACTGAGTTGGATATCAAGTATACACACAAAATACGAGCGAACCAAAGGGCTCTCTTAGACATAGAAAAAGCATATTTTGTTGACATAATTGTACGGCATATATATGACGTATATTACATAAACATGATAATACATGCCGTGTATGTACATAGCTGTTTATTTGACAATGTACGGGTATATGGTAATGCATAATGAATATATCAAAATACAATAGTTATTTAAGTAACATACGCTCTCTCGTTGCAAATGTACCGGAGAGACTTAAAATTTAAAAAACAACGTGACCATTTTGGTTCTTTTACTTGTATTACATATGTTTGACCCAATTTTATCGATAGAACATTGATTATAGAGTCCAATCCATAATTATATAATCGATATTGAAGTCACAGCACAGGTATCTCTAACATTCCTATGGTCTTCTACATTATTAAAATTTTAAAAATATTGATACATCCTGCATTAACAATTCTATGTATTTATTTGCATATTTTAAACAATATCAAAATTAAACAATATTATGTCATTTTAACTCGCAAAAGATCAGAATCAAAAAATAATGTGGCCCATGAGGGGATCGAACCCGCGACCTTCGCGTTATTAGCACGAC